TGGTTAAGCTGGGTTGATTTTGTCGCTGTACGGATGACGCAGACCAACAGGCAATTGTTGCAGCCTTTGAAAGTCCCATGATGAAGCTTTGTGTCGGTCGAGCGCCTAGACAGGTTCGTAAGCAACTAACAACTCCCGGTTTTGCACGCGACAACTTCGGCCATCTATTTTGCTGATGCCCAAGTTTTGCTCCAAACAGGTTGATGCAGTGTCTTGAGCGCGAGTTAGGTTTTAAGTGATAGTCAACTTCCCGCAGCATCAAACCGCATTCTCGCTCATCACTCATCCATCGCTAGTATGTAGGTATTGAACCCGGTCTCACGAATCTCTTTCCCCACAAGGGAGGTATTAAGCACATGCTCTCCTTTCATCTTTCAGATTCTCCTAATTGGCAAGTCAGTCAACTTCCTGATGCATGTCTGTGGTGAATCGCAGAATCTAAAAGAACTTGAGGCTATCAAGAATACTCGTCTGAAAGAGAGTAAGCTTGTGTGTATGCATTTATCTTTTAAACCTTTTCAATAGGCTTCTTAAACAGCCCAGCAATGTTGCAGAACCGAAATCCATTTCCCTCTGCCTGCTATATTTGCCATTCTGGAATAATTAGTTTAGTCTGATCTTTCCAGGTCCTCTTCCCCGCGTTTTCATCTTATTAACACAGCAGCCTAACTAGATATTCCAAAACCCTTTCTATAAAATGCACACTGGGAATGTTTCCGGAAGCGTGGAAAAAGTAGAGGTGAAGGACCTTTGCGTCGTTTATTATCCTAGCCTGTTTTACCGCAGACAGCAGCATACAGTTCCTTACTACACTACACCCGCTAGACCAGTATACGATGAACTGTGCACCCTCGGTGACCAACAAACCGCCAAATGAATGCAGAATCTTCCTGATTTTTAAAGTACATTCTATAGGCTGAGACAACGGTAACAGGAAGCCTAATTTTATGGAAGACGACCTTCACTCTCGGTAGCAATTACTGTTAAGCGGCCAGCCCTGACAAACGCATAAAATGTGACTAGGTGCACCACAACCCGCTAGCCGAAGCATCAGCATTTAGCCATTTTTGGGAAGATTGGAGTCGCTACAATTGAGGGATTATATCAGGGGACTAGGCTCCTTTTTTTAGGAATCACGCCTAAACATAAACATGCGGCCGGCCCTATGTCGGAATTCAAGTTGCACAGAGCAGGTTAAAATAATCTAGAGTGACGAGTCGTTTTCTGTCCTTTGGCGTAAAGTCCACGATGTCAGCTCCTGCGTGAGCCCCTACATTCTCACCAATACCTCGTCCATCACAAGCGATTAAGACCACCGCGGTCCAGGTTAGGACACAGAGCTGATTCACGCGTTAATTTGTTTGTAGTGAGACCGCGTCCATCCCATCTAGTGCTAAGACAGGGTTGAAATGACTAATGATTGGCTTGAGTGCAGTGACTAGCTACGTACACGCTGGCCACAAATTCACACTTTATTCTTTAAGGGTGGGGGTCGGAAACGCTCACTGCCCTTTGGGACTCCAGAACAAGCAACTGTGATCGCAGAAGAAAAAAGCCAGTCTATGTGCTCTCCCACTGCACCCTTTCTTCTATTGGTTACCACGGATTTTTACGTCTTTGCATCTTTTTTTACCATTCCCAGTCTGCAACTCAATGGTAAGCCTTTTGGGTAAAGAGAAAAACGAAGACGGCGTAATGGCTTATTAGTTTGTTTATGTTTTTTACGGTTTTACCGGGGGTTTGATGTGAGGTGATGGGGTCTGCATCCCTACAGTGGTTTCTTGCCTTTCGGTTGCGGCAAATCATGTAACACTACTTTTTTTCTCCTTCTAGTTGACTCTATTTTTGCCCAAGAGTTCTCCCAATCCTTCAACCTCATGATATCAACGGCTTACAAACACACCAGCAAGAGACTCCTTGAAATTCTCCTCTCCCAGTACCACTTTATGGAACACTTAAAGGTTAGTTGAATGCCACGGTACCGCCATCCGAATTTGTCGCAAGCGGTAGGCTTAGGGTCTGAAAACTCTACGTTTGCACCTAACATGTTTTCATGCCTGCGCCGTTGGGTTCTGACGGCCGCAATCTGCATAACAGTTGGGAGTATATAAACGCAAGATTTGCTTACGGTTTTAACCCCCCCCCCTCCCCCTAAGAACACAGCCCTGCTGCTGTTGTATAAGTGGTAGCTAGGGTTTTGCGTATACGGCCCTATCTTTAAATCTCACTCTGACCCAAGCTGTCGTTACACCTCATATCGGCCAATTGTTTGCAGTGGCGAGCAATTCCCGACTGCATGCAATATGCACTGCATGCAGTCTGTCTTCTTATGGGCACGGCGACACGCACTTGGCACGGCTTGCCAACTGTTAACTGGACCAGTCCTCGAAACATGCCACGGTCAGCACACGACGCCTATATCTGGACAGAGGTGTTTTGTTAACCAACAAAAAAGCATATTAATTAAGTCCGGGGTATTTGTGCTGTGGCAGTTTATGAATTTACGAACTTTTCGAAGTAGCATGTTCATAAATTGCTTTGGATTAAAAAAAAACACTGAACCAACTTTAGTCTCTACAGATGTCTATGAGCTACGTTTAAAAGGGTTTGCTTAAATTTCCAGTAACTATTTGGCGTAGCCTAAATTAAACTCCTTTTGCTAGTTGGAGACGAGGTGATCTACAATTTTGGACAGTTCACGGGGGCAGCTCAGTGGTACTGTCGGTGGTTTGTATCCCCTCCAGAGTGAAACTTTTCTCTCCGTGTAAATTCCTGTCTCCGTAGGCAGCTTCTAGTGTCTGGCACTACCGAACCCTGTATTATTAAGCCTGCGTCCGTGCCCACTCCTGTAATTGGACTGGACTCATTTGTCTATTTTATTTAATTAA